TATTATTATTATTATTATTATTATTATTATTATTATTATTACTTGGCCTGTACTGTGCAAGTCAGTAACCCAGGAGAGGTTCAAGTACTACCTATAATGGTCTAAAATAGCAAGGCTCTGCCCAAAGTGGGAGGGGGGAAGGTACTTTTTCAGACTGGAAGTACATTTCTTTTGCTATTGAAAAGATCTTTTCACTCTCTTTCGCTTTAAAAATATGGTCACGTGGTTAACTGAAGCTTTTTGGCAAAATTGCAGTGCATCACTAATGTCGCAAAAGTTTCGATTTGGGGTTGGTATGTTAATCAATGATGATGTAGCCATCCTAACGTAATGCAATCGGGAGAGGCTTGGGACTAGCGAGCCTTCGATAAAGCAGCGGTAACTTGAGCAGCTTTTCAAGATGGCGGGTGGCTGACCTGGTGCAGTCGGGAATAGCCACAAATGCAACTGAGATGCATGATATATTGAGACCTTTGGAACAGGGCCTTGGAAACAGGTATGGATTATGCCTGAGCACAGCTCAGAATATTTATCAACGCGTTAAAGCCCTGACCAAAACCTCGAACGAAGTTGCAAGAACACGCAACTGTGTCTTCTTGCGACTGTTTTTGCCGCTGTAACTAAAGGCTAAGGGACTGACAAAATAAGTTCGAGGTTTCGTTTAAACAACAAAGTCCTCGGTATAACGAACGATATTTTTCGCCCTAGCTAGTAATAGTAAAATGTATGCAAAAGAACCCCGATGACGCGTTTCCACAGCTGTAAGGGTTTTGACAGTTTGTGTGCGGTATATGCCAGCTGTTTTGATGCTTTAAGCTTTGGCTCACATTTTGCTGATAGAGTAGAAGCCAGCCTTACGGCCACCCCGTTAACACGGCCACCTCCTTGTTCAGGGTGTTATTACGGCCACTTTATTCTGGCCCGAACAAAAGCTCAGTCAATCATTTTATTATTTAAAAGCCAATAATACGGCCACCTCATTAATACGGCCAGATTTCTGTGGCCCGTTGTAGAAGTAGCTTAATCCCTTAAAAATCATTTCGCCATCACTTTTATAGAGCCCTAGTCATTTTCTGTAGTTTGCAGTTTTTCACCATCCACCCCTCTCTTAACCTCTCTTCACAAGACATTGAACAAACAAATAATTTGACCAATTTGCTACAACTGAACTCTTTCGAGTTCCTAAGATTAGAATTTAAAAGTTGAAAGACTTTGACATTTTGATTCAAAGAAACATTTTCAGAAAAAGTATAATTTAAAGCTGTCTTGTGAAATAATTTACTCGAATACACATTTCCGTTTCATCCTCAAGGAAAAATGTTCTTCTTCGGGGGGTGGGTATGGTTACACGTAGGCCATTGTATTGCTAGAAGCTACACAGAGGGTCTCTATATATATCACTGTCTTCGAAAGGCCGAAATCCAAAAGATATATGTTTATTGACATTGAGCTAAATATAATGGCATTGTTTTGTTACAAATTACTTAATGAGCGCACTAAAGCTATAAAAAGAGTAATATGATGGGTTACACAAGCAATCGTACACATGGACATTGTCTGCCGGGCAAACCTGTCTTGGAGATGAAACTGTAACAAACTGACAGCAATTTGCTCTTCTATCAACAATTAACTTAATAGTCTTCTTGGTGTTCTATGGGAAATTTCGTGTACACTAGCAAAGGAACTCAGTCACAATTAGCAGATTACTTTGATAAAATATGCAGTCAAATCACTAAGAGAAGTGTTGCCTTAACTTGTCTGTCATTTCTGACCTCTCTGCCGTGAGTGAAAAACATCAAAGCCTACAATGTTACAATCTCTGTAAATAGTCCTTAAGATGTTTCGGAGACTAACAGTTAAGTTCAGTTTACACTGTCATTAGATGAACTGTAACAGTATGGAAGCACCATACCAAATATAGAAGTATGTATGCTTATAATGCCCTGACCGTTATATGACATGGATTAAATCTGAAGTAGTTGAATTTTATTATTATTATACATCTAGTGAAACATTGTTGTAGGACACATAGAGCTATTATTAATTTATTACGATTTTGATTGGCTTTAAACAAACTGCTAATCAACAGCAACAGCGTTTACTAGTGACGTCATATCTACAAATAGTAGTGAAGTATCGTACAAAGGTAGACACGCAAGCCTTGGTTTTCAGTGAGAAGTGATTACAAAGTTATTTCTTTAGGGATGGAAAATATGAAAAACTAAATGGCCTTGAAACCCTCGTGTTCAACATAGACTGTTTAAACATCTTTTTCATGGCCATATCCCTTGCCATCTTCTTTATCTTGGCCATTTCTCGTTCTCGTTGTTCTCTTTCTTTTCTTTCCTTCTCAAGTCTTTCCTTTTCCTCTCTTTCTCGTTGGTTTCTCTCCATCTCGGCCAAGCATTCCTTGCGAACTTTCTTGATCTCGCTCTCCACGAGGCTTGCGGCTCTTTTCTTAGCTCTGAGTTGGTCTTCATTTAGTTGTTTACGAAACTTATTTTCTGACTCCTCTTTTCCCCTGAGAGCATGCGTCAGGTCATTTGCAGATTCTGTTAATCCTAAAGAGTGAAGCTCAACAATAATCTGTTGTACTTCTTCAGCTCTTTCCAGCCTTTTCACCTCATGCTGCAGCAAGTTTGACACTCTGGCCTTACCGTTCACTGTGGTCAATGCAGCAGCCAAGCTATGTTTCCTTCGTGCGCGCGCACGATCCAAGTCGGATTGAATTTTTCGGAGCATAGCGAGTTCCTCAGAATGCGTCTTGCTTTTCTCGTACTCCATGTCATTTGCTTTTTCTTTCTTCATCCGCTGTGCGCGTTCTTGAAAAATAATCGCCTGTTTCATCTCTGCCTTTTCTTCCAACTTTTCAATGGAAACTTTCTCGGCTTCGATGCGAGTAGCGATAAGTTGCGATCTCGCATCGTCGATTACAGTTTTAAACTTCTTTCGCGTATCATTCTTTTTCGCAGTAGCCTCGAGTCGTATCCTCTTTAGCTCTTTCTTTAGCGCTACTTTTGCCCTTTGGCGAATTTCTTTTTCAGAAGTCATGGAAAGCTGCTGATCATTCTCGTCTTGTTTGGCTTCGCCGCCCTCTTCCTCATTCTCACCGTCTTCGTCGTCTTCTTGTAGCGCCATGTCCTCAATGTCACTGTCTAGGTAGGGACTCACTGAACTGGCGCTTGTTATGAGAGAAAACGTTTCTGATCCGGTAAGACTTCCTCTCTGTATTCCTTCAATTTTCGGTAAAACAATGCGCGCATTGTTGTTGGAACCTGCGGCCGCATCTTTTTTAAATTCCGCTTTGTCTTTACGTTCCATGTTTACGGAATAAAACGAGTTTGCGTCAACTTTGCTTTCGAGTCTTCACGCTAAAAATGCATCAAGGAACTGCTTGAAAAAACGTTTTTGTTCTACTTTTTGGAATCGTTCATTATCTTTCTCATTTCTCGCCAGGACTTGGAGTTGCAATATTTTCTTCCTGTGAATCGTGTTTTTGTCTTGTGGCGTTTTTAGTTTGCCAGTTTTCTTTCACCAGCAGGCAACCACACTGAACCAAAATTGATAAGATCAGCTTGGCTTGGCCAATAGCGAGCTTCATTTATACGGCGGTAACACTTCACAGTTATCACGACTAAAACTAAAAAAAGAAGAACGTCAAAGATGATAAGCAAATAGCCACGAATGATAAAGAGGCTGTTGAGGACGATAACAAGTTTCCAGCATTTTTCCCACTTGATTAGACATATTAAGCAAGAGGCGAGCTCATTGCCTAATTGAGATAGTAACCTCACTACAAGAAATATAATTAGTAATAGTGATTGGACCGAGTGGAATACAAACAGGGAGTTATGCGGGCGAGTAACTTCAAAATCGGACGAGCGCGCAGCTTGACGCCGATTTGAAATTACGAGCACGGTTACTGCCAGATTGAAAGACTCGAAGTTCAATTGCTAATTAATCGTATCGGTAATCAAATTTCGAGATTTAGGAGTCTTTAAGAACTTCTTTCGAGAGAACAAGGGCAGTAGTATTTTTCATAATTTCTACACATGAAACGGTCATAAAGAAGGAAGCCATTAAAGCGCGCGTAATTGATGTAAGAATGGCGTAGGCGTCCAATTCTAGGTATTGGACTCCCGCGTGAACCAATTACAATCGAGAATGTTGTTATCGATACAATTATAATGATAATGCTTCAATCTGTAAATATTACATCCGGCTTGGCTTATCTGTGCATAGACAATGCTTCAGGTCAGCTGGAATAGTACGTTGTTGTTTGTTTTTTATATGCGTTCATAAACGCAGCAACCCGACAAAAATGCCGTCGCTGCTCATCCGGAGTGGTGCTCGGGGCGGGGAGCAAAGAAAAAACTGTCAGTAAGAAAGCATTTGTGAGATGTCTTGTTATTTGACTTAGTCCACACTGTCCATGTTGTGAATCCGAGCTGTAAGATGGAATACTAGGATTTCAAATCTGTGCACGGTGATAATTTGCGCGACCTGTGCGCTGCTTCTTTGTTAGATTCACACTTAGGCTATGTAAACAGGTTTAAAATTGACGTCACGTTTAGTGTGTTGCTTTTCCTTTTATAGATTTATGATTGCGTTTTGGAGAACTTGGAACTGAGAACTGGAGAGCCTGGGTCAAGGTTTACTATGCACGCTTCAACTTTCTCAAACAAGGTTTCTGGTTTTGAACTCGCTATGCAATCACACAATTCCTTCGCTATATTTTGTTAGCTAACCAGATAATTAAAACCTTTTAACTGTTAGAAAACTTGTGAAAATTTCAATTTTATTGTATTTTTGAACCTGTCCTAATGAATCATTGATGTTACTCTCTTCACCACAAGAGATAACAACGATATAATCCTCGGAGGTCTACAGGGAAAATGTATCATGCAGTTAATTACACACTTTGTAACCATAGCATGTAATTGGTATCAACGTAATAAGCCGCGCTGTTGGGTGTCCTTTTAATTTCCACCTCAAGGTGTTGTGGTTATGGACGTTCTCCAGGTCTATTATTGATTAGGTTGTTGTTTATATTGCAGCAGACAACCTTGTTCCAACTATTTTCGTATTGGAGGAGGAAAATAAGAAAAAGTATGCGATCTTGAGATCCGTGAATTCAACAGTGTTTCGTCAAAATTTCGCCTTAGTGCTTGATTGTGAGCTTTACGTGCCAGTGCGGCCATCACACGTGCACGCTTCTCCCTCTCCTCCCTGGCTTTTCTTTCTTGCTCCAGTCTTTCCATCTCAGCGATCCTCTTCTTTCGCAACTTTTGCACTTCTTCTTCCTTTTTCTTTAAGGCTTCGATTCGTGCTCTGCTTCTTTCTTCCTTCAATTGTATACGTAATGAAAAATCTGCCTGTTCTTTTGACTGCATGGACAGGCGCAACGAGTCCACCTGCTCGCTTAATCCAAGGTCGTTTAAGTCCTGAATCAGGTGCTGAATTTCATCGATTCTCTCAAGTTTGCGTATCTCTGTCTGCATTAGTTGCTTTATTTTTCCTTTTTTCTTTAAGTTCAGAAGTGACACGAGTCCGGACGAAGTTTTTCGTCTTGCCCGAGCTCGATCTAAGTCTGACTGGATTTTCCGCAAACTAGCCATTTCCTCCATGTGTTCTCGAACCCAATTATTGTCAGCGCGAAAGTTGTTTTTAATACTCGCCTTCTGGTCTTTTCCGTTTAGGATTTGCCACTTTCTTAAAGATCTTCTCTTCATTATCTCGCTCTGTTTTTCTTCTGCCTTCTCTTCTAATTTATTTACAGCCTCTTTCTCGGCATAAACTCGAGCTTCTACCAAGGCTTCACGAGCGTTCTCAATCACTTTTGTAAACTTCTTTTTTAGCTTTATCTCTTTAGCCTTGGCATCTCGCCAAATTCTTTTAAAATCTTCCCTGAATTTTTCTTGTACTCGATTTTCAATCTCTTGAATGTCTTTGTGAGAAAGCATATAGTCTTCCGCCTTGGCACTATTAGAAGATAATTTTTCATCGCTACGAAGTTCATCGAAATCGTCGAACGAGAAATCGGAGGTTGAAATGCTCTTTTCGTCCTCCTGGCTGTAGCTATTGGAAACAGGCGATAAACTATCAGAGCCGCCATAAGCGGAATCGATACTCGGGAGGCCAAAACCGCTGGTTTTCCTTGAATTTGCTCGATAAACTTCCTTGCCCGGCGTTTCCCCATTCTCGAAAACATTTCTTCTGTCATTTGCTTCATAACCGTCCGCCAATAGCGGTCGATCGCGCGAAAACGACATCCAGCTCTTAATAGCCGTAGAGAAGTAGTAATAAGTGATCGCCAATTTTCCTCATCCAGCTGTACGACCGTGGGGTGAAGATAATTTTAGGTATCTAATGAGAGGTGATGATTATTTTATACGTTATGAAGACCTTGCACGGCATGGTCGGTCATAGCCACAACAATGAAACTCGATTGATTTTCTGTGATAAGAAAAGTTGTTTTAGATACAGCAAATTCGGACTGTGTTATTATTCCCAAAGCTCATTATGATTTCCATTGTATGAACTATTTGTTGATCTGCCGTCTGCCTCAGAGTAATTATAACCCACCTTTCAAGTGTACCCAAAAAACTCGTAAAGCCGTTGTCAGGTGTGCTTCAAAAAAGTCTTCATAACTATAAAATGTTTACAATAACCTTCCTCTGTCAGTGGCGTCGACTGAGGTGTCTTGTCAAGTCTTTTTAGCCATGTTTACTAAGTCCAGAAATAATCTCATATCTTAATAATAAAGCGACGAACGATTCGCTTCCTTCAAATACTCGTGTAGAGGCAAAATGAAGTAGAGTAGAATCAGTCAAACTGTTCAAATATAACGCAATCAACGTTGACATTTTGAATAAGAGAGATGGCACAATGTCTCATTTAGATAATATGAATTTTCCTACCTTTGTTTTGAAATTGGTTTAATACCAATATAGTGTTTTTCTCTAAAACTGCAATTATCGCAGGTGGGACGAACAAGAAAACCCTCAACAGCTTACACCAAGCGTTCAGTATCTGCCTATGGCATCACGGAAGCTCGACAAATAAGTAAAATAATTTTTTTTTTCAAAAATCACAGACTCTCGCGGGTATTTTTATTTTACAGGTAAATTTTTATGACAAACAATACCCAACGACAAATGGACTGGCCCTTCTTGCAGCAGCCCCCCCCATTCAAAACAAAACAAAACCCTCACTCTAGGTTTGCTAGCATTGTATTTTGGTGTCATTTATAACTTACTAACCTGAAAATATTAAAATACGTGCCCTTTTTCTTTCACATGCTCTAATCCCCTATCCATTTCTCCTCTTCATCAAAAGTTTAAACGGAAAATCGCATTATTTGGAGTTCATCATCGGTTACAGTTTGTCGTAGCCTGCGCCTCTTGTCTTGACCTGTGTGTGGTTTTAAATGCCCTGTATAAGTGCCTCTCTGAATTCGGAGAACTTCAAAGATTTTGTGCTCAGTGAAGTGAGCTCTTCACAGTGACAGACGTGGGTAATTTAGTGTCTCGTTTTTACCCGATCTGAGCTCGCGCAAACAGCCGTAACGGTCAGAACAAAGGTGGTTTTATTCAACACATCTGGAGATTTTACTGATGTGGCTTCAATTATTTGTTTTCCCACCCTTTCCACCGGCTGTCTATGTGTTGCTTGTTAGTTTGAAGGTGTTTTTGATTCATTGTTCGTCTCGTTTCTTTTCTGTCTGGCGTATGGTCCGCCACTGTCTCGATTATTCTTTTTTTTTCTTCGTCTTTTTATTGTTGGTTGGTGGCGCGCATGTACACGCGACGTTTTGGCGAGAAACACTTCCATTGGCATCTGAACTACTACCGCTGTCCTCGCTGCTTGACTGCTCATCAGAAGCCGAAGATTCCGAATCGTGTATAAGTAGAGGGAAATATGAAAATTTAAAAGCCCTTCAGTGATATCTTGGTGGATAAGATCGATTTTTGCTTTTCATTCCAGAGTGCAATGTTCTTCTCTCGTCGTTTTTCAGCATCAATTCTTCTCTTTTCTCTTTCAGGCATTCTTGTCTCTCTCATTTCTTCCTCCAACCTTTTTAGCTCCTCCATTCTAAGAAAGAAAGCTTCTCGTATGCTTTTCTCTAAGTTTTTTGCTTCCAGTCTTTTCTTCTCTTCCCTTTCTTTTAGCAGTTCTCTCTTGGTTGCCTTATCCAACTCTTTTTCTGTCATCAGTTTGGATTCCAAAAGATCACTCAGGTTCTCTGCTTCCTTCACCTTGTTAAGCTGGTAGCTGAGCTGCCATATAGTTTTGTTTACAGTTTTGGTCTCGACCTATGTACATCAGGCAATTCTAAACCCTCTTCACTTTTTTTGCTTTCTTTGTCAACCTCGGCGAACAAGACACTCGTAGTGCGTACCTCTTGGTCAGCCAGACAGAGTTCTGGTCTTATTCGAGGCAGAGCTGATTCTAAGCTGTTCGGTGTTGTGTGGACTATATTGCCGCTGATTTCGCTCTCTGGTGAAAGTATGCTTGCAACAGGAATCTCTATGTGCTCCGGTTTTGATGAAGAATGAATTTTCCATTGCACAAATGCTGTGACTCAGTAAAAAGCGTTTGAACTGAGTGAATTCAATCTTCGCCACATTATGGTCTTTAAGCAAAGGGAAAAGCAGTGAAACACTTCAAGGTATTGGAATCTTGGAGCTCTACTTGGAAATACTATATTTACAAGTCAGCACTTCCTCATGGATCCTTATGCATTTTATTGTCAGCAAGCTTCGCGCCGCATTATAATTATTAGAATTATGTCTGTAATTGTCTCGGTCAAGGTGTAAACTGAGTTGTTATCAAGTTGAGGTTTTGATGGGAATAACCAACCATCAAAATTGTGTACTCATTTTCACATGTTCGGTTTTTTTATTGTTTTCTGTCAGTTTACAGCCGAATTCGTATTTTTAATTGACTGTTAATTAAGTGTGATGCATATGATGTATGAAGAAGTAAAAGCGGTGATTAGACAGGCTCGAGAACCAGCCGCTGCTCGGGAAAGGTGCCCGCACTCCTCCAACGCAGATCAGACTCGAGAGAGCGGCGGAATGGAGCCTAGTAATTAGACAGAAATCATATAAGCAGTTTGTTTCGTGTCTAGAGTCGGCGAACCAGGGAATTTTGTTGGAGCACGGTGGCCGTACAACTATGAGCATCCATGAGGTGAGAGAGATCTACATCTGACAACGACAAGTCTGTGGCAGAGGACTGGGGCGAATAGTGTTTTAAGGCTTCCGCATTTGATGCTATTATTTTGTCATGGCGCTTAAGGGGGTATGATACCCTAAAATATGGCGATGTTCCTGAAAAATTCAATTTCTTGGAAATAAAAGATTTAAGACCCTTGGGGACTTGTCAAGAACATTTTAAAACGGTCTTGCCAAATTTCCTTCCAGATGAGTGTGAAATTTAAGGAAAGTACACAGTGGTAAATGTTTTTTCACGTAGCAACGGCCATAGCAACGACTGTTTACTATAAGAACGTGACCAAAAATATAGATTATTTTTAACTTATATGAACGAAACTATTTAGAAAAAAACTTTTAAGACCTGCAACTTTTGGTATAATTATTTGTGAAAAGCTTTGCCTCAAATTGCCATCACAGGCTCATTCATTTCCCTTATGAAAAGGAATATTTCCCACAACTGCGGTAATTTTTTACAAAAAAGAACAACCATTGCATCCCTTCCCCCGAAATCCAATCTGCACCCCCCACCCCGCTATATGTGGCTCGTTAAACGCTTAATACTTCGTGTAAGAAACTTAAAGTGCATTTTTCTCAAAAGTTTACTTTTGTATCGACTGACTTCGCGCCAACATTTCT